AATATATATTTATTAATAATTTATATTAATTAAAATATAATATAAATAAATAAATAAAACATAAAATAAAATAAATAATATATATTAATTAAAATTTTCTTTAATTAATAATAAAATAAAAAGTAATAATCACAAAAAAACACAAAAAATTATAAAACACAAATGATTAAAAGCTACTTAGGGGTGCCATTAGCACATGATAGGGATGCCATTAGCCACCCCCTTTTCTATTGGATTAATAAGAAAATTAAACCTCTAAAATAAAATAAAATAAAAATGATGAAATCCATGGTACAGACTACAGAATAAAAATAAATAAATGATAGTGGGACCCAACTCATGATCAGATAAATAAATTCGCTCTCATTTTTTTCAAAATTTGAAGGCTTTTGCCACTACCCCTACCATTTATTGACTTGTTAAAATCTGGGCTGATAGCAGCAACTTTCCTGATTATATACATAATAATAGCTGGTTGACACCAAAAATGGGGTTTATTAATCTACTTACACTGATTATTGTTACTAAAAACTAAAGCATACGAGATCAGTATATCTTACCTACATGTGAGGTGTCTGTAACAATCTGTCCAGTAACTTCTATCATTGTTTTTAAGTTGATTTATAGGTTATTGGGTAAGTCTGTGGCTTTTGGCTGTGGGGCTTACAGTATGAAGATGAGATGTATCATGTCCTCTAATCCTAAAAATAGAACAAATGTTTCCATGAATACACCTGCTTGCAAAAAGTGGGAAAAAGAAAGTTTGTCGAAAAAGTCCTAGCAATTGGAAAGAAGGGAAGAAGTGGAAAAAGGAAAAAAAGATTAAATGAAAATATCTAGATACAAAGATGATCCACACCATTATAAGAAAATATATAGATAGAAAATGGACTAGACATGAAAACTATCTCAGGTCACCAAAGGGCCTTTGACCTAGCGATATCTAGTAACACAACTTTCTTAGAGGTCAAGGGTTTCGACTTCACGCCTTTGATGTGGGAAGTGTGTGAAAGTTTCATTTAAGTGTATATATATATATATATATATATATATATATATATATATTATAAATACTTCAAATTAAAAAAAATGGAAAGATGAGGGCAGGCTGGTTGGTGGTTTGCCATTCCAGCTGTTCATTGAAATCCTATGGTTAATGGTAATGGGTATGGACCATGGAGATTTGTGTGTTTTTATGGACCGTGTACACAAATCATCTTTCATATGTGGATTCAACGTATAAATAAAGGTCTTATATGTAAATAAATGTCAAGGCTGGGCTGGCAATTATAATAATGAAACCTATTTACATCCTTTTTTTCACAGGTGGCTTTGAGGTATACATCCATATCAACATAAAACCATGGAGGGAAGCTATTACTAGTATTTAGTAAGGATGATTCGAGTAATGGGTTACAAAATACTAACCACATCGGCTTCAGGATCAATAGGATGGTTTTAGCTGCTTCGATGATGAATTTGGCTTTGATCTCATTTGCGTTTTTCCCTTTGATCAAGTATCATGTATCAAAATTTTCAATATTAACATAAAGTTATTGAAGTGATCGGCTTTTTAAACCACCATACCTGGCTTTTTGTGACACATATATCATCGCATTTATGCTGGAACATCGGTGCGGATTCCAATCAGATCGTGTATCTTTTGTGTGAAAACTCTAGTAAGTCGTTCGAGCTCGGATATGCTTAATTCTCTCCCGGACTGCATCCTGCCCCTTTTTGCTCCGCCATATTGTATATTTGCTTAATGTTGAACCCTGAAGCCAACATAAAGCATAAGATACCAAAGCACCATCATCCTTTGGTTTCATACACTCAATCTGCAATCGTGTTTTAAAGCAACATAAGCATCATGCTGACTGTATTCGGACCTCACATCAGGAAAACCAAACAATTATTCTCACAAAAATATAAAAATTTTGAGGAAAAAAAAAATAAGCATACATTCTCAGAACTAAAATTTTGAGTTGGTTGGATATCTTGATCTTGAAATGGCCTCAAAACCCTACAAGGTCAAATTGTATGAATGAAATCAGGGAATGCTAAGATCATGAACTATTGGCTGCACAAAATCTTATTGTAAATCAGAAGAAAGTGAAAGCACAAATAATCTGTTTTGCCAAACTAGTCTTTCTTAAATGGCTGGAACTGCTTACGGAGTTACGGGAACCTAAACATCTTGAGTTTAAATCCAATACTTGTATGTATGATTTCCGGGTTTCTTCATAAAAGGTATAAAGGATCAAAGAAGGCGACAGACTTCACAAGAAACTAGAAAAATGTAACATCTCATAAATGTATAGACAAAGACCAATTGAAATGGAAATATAGAAGAACAATAACCTTGATTTCCCTGAATGGAACGAGGCAACTTTTTTCAAGTTTGGAGTCTAATTGAACAGAAGTTATCAATTGAACAGATTTCGAGGTTGATTGTATCATTTTGTCTCTGGAATAGAACTCTCAATAAAGTATGATCATAACAATTTCCTCAAGGCATCATAATCACCAATGGTCTTTGCAGGAACAGACACCCTCTCCAAAATGATGGAAGCGATACGAGTCTCTGACTATAATAGACCGATTAGAAATCTTTGACACAAATTTTATCCAATTATGGCAATCATTGCATACACGAAGATTCTTCATTACACGCAAGGGAATCGTATTAGACAAGGTTAAAAGTCCAAATGTGATGGCTAACTTCTCGCTGTGTATGCAAGTAGATGGATCCTTCTGATCCTGCTCCAGATCATTCAGAAGACTGTACCGATCTTGTACATATCCAATTTCAGCAGCACGTTTATCAAGATCATCTAAAGATTCATATATCTCATCGGCTAGTGGATGGAGACGATCACCAACAAAGAATGCGTGAACTGTGTTCTTGACCTCAATCCAACTACGACCAGGCACTTTCTTCACACCTCTATCTTTCATCAACTTTCTTGTCCAGTTTCTATCATCCCATTTCCCAGAAACTGCATACATGTTTGACAATAGAACATAAGTGGCTGAATCTTCTGGTTCCAACTCAAGAAGGTGTCCTGCAGAAATTTCTCCAATTTCCTTGTTTTTATGAACTGTACAAGCACTCAAGAGGGTCCTCCACACCATTGCATCTGGTTCAATTGGCATTTTCTTGATAAATTCTAGTGCACGGCTCAAAAGCCCAGACCGTCCAAGAAGATCTACAACACAAGCATAGTGTTCAGCTCTTGGGACTAGACCATAATCTTCATTCATAGATTTGAAGTATTCCAGCCCTTTTGCAACTAACCTGACATGGCTACAAGCCGTTAAAACACCCACAAAAGTAACGTAGTTTGGTTTATTACCATACCATATCATTTTTTCAAAGAGTTCTATAGCTTCATCTCCACACCCGTGTTGAGAATAGCCCGTAATCATGGCATTCCATGAAACCTCATTTTTATCAGGCATTTCAAGAAACTCACTTTTAGCATCATCAAGGTTCCCACACTTTGAATATAATGTTATGAGAACATTGGAAGCCTCAGTTTCCATATTGTAGCCTGTTTTTATCATCCTTCCATGGATTTGTTTGCCTTGTGTTATGTTTGTTGTATTTGCAGCAGCACTAACAGCAGACGCATAAGTAAACATATTGATTTCTACTCCAAATCCAATCATTCGATTGAACACTTTCAGTGCTTCCTCACAATACCCACTCTGTGCAAATCCTGAAACCAATCCATTCCATGAGACATTATCTTTAGAATTCATCTTGTCAAATACCATATATGCATCGTCTACTTTACCACATCTAGCATACAGACAAACAAGTGCATTCCCAATTGAAAGATCAGATGAATATCCACAGGTAACTGTTTGAGCATGAATTTGACGGCCTTGATTGATTGCTTGAATTCCAGCACACGCACTTACTGCACTTGAAAATCCAATGTTGTCTGATTGGATTCCCTGTTGCAGCATCTCCTCAAACGTATTAAGAGCTTCAACGAATAAATCATGCTGAGCGTATCCAGCTATCATAGCTGTCCAAGAAACAACATCATCCTCATCGAGTCGCCTGAGAATTTTCAGTGCTGTGTCCAAGTTTCCATGCTTGGAGTACATATCAATAAGCACACTGCATACATATACATTCTGCTGAAAGCCTGTTTTAACAACTTGGGAATGGATCTGCTCTCCCAGGTCTAAAGCACCCACTAAAGTACACGTCCTCAATATACTAGGATACGTGTACTGATTAGGCCTCAACCCCTTGATCTGCATTTGTGAAAAAATACGGAAAGATTCATGGAGATCCCCCAACTGTCCATAAGCCACCAACATCACATTCCATAGAACCACATTTTCTTTTTCCGTTGTAAGGAAGAATTCATGAGCAGTTTTGATATCAGAGCATTTTACATAAAGATCAAGTAAAGAGCCTTCAATAATTATATCTGCACACACTCCCGCCTTTATTGCATAAGAGTGTAGTTGAGTTCCCTTAAGAAAGTCCCCAACTGATGCACAAGCACTTAAGAGACTAGCAACAGTAACAGAGTCTGGTTTCAGGTTATCAGACTGCATTTTCTCATACAGCTGTATAGCTTTCTCACTTAGTCCTTTCTGAGCAAGACCTGATATAAGAGTGTTGTATGATACTCCATCCCGACAATCCATTTTACTAAAGATTTGTTCTGCAGACAACAAATTGTCACATCGTGAATACAGTGTGAGAAGAGCATTGCATACAAAAGTTTCAGATGAAAATCCCCACTTATGAATAAGGGCATGAAACTGCTCTCCCAGCTTAAAAAATGCAATCTTTGTACAAGAACTTATGACACTAGAGAAAACATAAGGAGTGGGTAAAATCCCAGAACCATGCATCTCAGAAAATAATAAAATGCTTTCTTCTTCATGTCCATTCTGAGAGAATCCAGAGATCATAGCAACCCAAGAAACTTTATCTCTCATACCCAGGCCTTGAAACACATATTTTGCAGTATCTATGTGCCCCTTCTTTGCATACAAATCAATCAATGGATTACAGACAACATAATTCGTACCAAAACCATGACGGACAATCTTGGTGTGAATCTGCTTTACATAATTATGATCAACCTTGTCTCCACTACAAGCCCGCAAAACATTTGCAAATGTTACTTCATCAGGGCCAACATTTCCTGCCAACATTTTTGTAAGCAGGCCCAACACCATAGTAGCCATCTTCTTTCCAATCAAACCAAAAATTAAATTATTCCAAAAAGATACATCTCTGTTAGGCATTTCATCTGTAACCTGGCATGCATCATTTAAATCACCCTGAGCAACATAAACATCAGCTAGCCGGCTGCAAATTACATAATCCTTATCAAAACCTGATTTCAAGATCCTCCCGTGAAGCTTCTTAGCATCAATCAGAGATCCAGAACTCAGATACCCTTCTAAGAGCCAACAGTAGGTCTGATGATTAGCACAAATTTGGCCGGAATAACCAACCACCTTCGTCTCGTCAATTTTCGGGCTCCCTTCATTTTCTTCATTGACAACCGGCAAACTTGCAGAAGTACTAAAAGCAGCTAATCTCAATTCACTCAGTTTCCCACAAAAATACTGCAATTACACCAACATCGGCATCATTAACAATAAAAAAGAACATAAATCTATTGGGGCAAACCATCTTTGTTTTTAAAATTTCCAACATGGGTTCCAAATTATGATATCATCAGTACAAACGAAGTTTCAAAGAGATGATGAATTTACCTTCGGGAAATTTGTTGCTGATTTACGCGGGAAAGGTTCAAATGGCTTATTCGAGAAGGAACCACGTAATAATATCATCGGCTGTCTATAGTGAAAAATATTCCCTCGGTGTACGTCAGAGAATCCCTCTATCACACCCAAGAAGAGAAAAAAGAAGATTCAGACTGAAGCCTTCATAAGCCTAACAGTTTTCATGAAGGTAACAGTCAAAATATGTAAGTGAGCAAATGTTGAATCAATGATATGATTTGGTGCAAAATGATCAAGTGTTCAAAAATTGTTGTTGGGACGGTCTGAAGGATAGAAAGTTACCATTTTAACTATATGTATGGTTTGGTGTTGATTGAAATATGATCGTTTGATAAGAGTTCTGAGATAACAAATACTACCTTGCAAATATATCCCTTTGCAAATATAAATTGCAAAAAAACATATATTCGCAAGCCAAACACAGCAACATGCAAGCATACGCATTACAAGCTTCTAGTTCCTCTCAAGATACCTGGCTTTCAGCTCCTATTCTAAAACTTAATGAACATCATTCAAAGGTTGCCATATCCAAAGGGCTACTGCAGTGTTCAACATATCAGTCTTCTATGAACATGGCAGTAACAGGTTTCCAAAAGGTCACCATCACTAAGACTCCAGTTGCAAGTTGAAACATTGAGTCAGTAAAAAAAGGAAGTCACCAGGCATTGTAATTCAATTCAGTTGTTTACTAATTCAATGTCAACAATACTCTTACTACTGTCCAAACAAATCTACACTGAAATAGATTATTACCATCCCCAAATTATATTTGACAATAATTTGACTTCTATGATCAAACAAATTAATTTGACTTTATGCTCAACAATTATGCAAGTTTGGTGAAAATGGGGCTCATTAACATCACAAAAGCTTTCAAGATTACAAAAGACAACAAGCTTATTAAATGTCCATCATATACTTCGAAGAAACATATACAAACATACACTTGCAACATTTGATTCAAATGAAACTGTGAACAAAACAATTATGTTTGTCAAGGTGTGTGGTATGGATTCAGCACCACAAGGTCTAATGTGGATGTTTCCATAAAACAGGTGCTGGAATGAGGATGTATAATATAGGTGCTTCAATACCCATAATGTAGAATGCAATACCCAGAATATTGCAAATGCTATTGTCTAGTGATTAGTCAAGTAGCAAATGAGCATGTAATTGTCAAAGAAATCTCATTAACCCATTTTCCACTTCAAAGACAAGACCCAACAGAACAAAAACAATCAAACTGAACTTGTATATATACTAATTACTCTTTTAACAGAACACATATAAATGTGGTTGATGTTGAAGTTGCAAGGCAATTTATATCAATTTTGCATTAAAAAAAGAGCTAGTCTTGACCTCAAGAGTCAGAATTTAATTTTCCCACATCAGGAACTACTCTTGGTGACACTACAGCACACACAGACAATAACACAAACACTTGGTGGGTGAGAAAGTAAAACAAAAACTCCCTGTAATTAAAACAACATATGGTGCAAGGATGAAGAAGCAGCATTGAATTTCAACCCACATAAAGACTTGAAAAATAAGAGAACACGGGCCGAAGGTTTACCTTTTACTCCAGCAAGCAGAACGAGATGAGGGTGCGACGAGACGAGATGGAAGAAAATTGCCCTGAATGATACGGACATAACCGCGTAAATCAACCATTCAGACAGAATGATTTAGAGCCTCAAAAAAAAAACAAGATTCTGGTCTGCAAAGTTCCAAGGTTGCCTCTTATGAACATGGATAGTATATTTAGAACATTACCGGATGGTGATAACCGTAAAAGTGACTTCAGTTCACTTGTCAGACCAGACTTCATACGCGAATTCTAAAGGTAAGAGCATCCATATTTATGGTTTCAATTGAGCTTTTTGAGGAAGTTCGTGAAAATGTTTCACTGAAAACCCAATCTACGTTTGTCATTTTGGCTTATTTATTTCTTCTTTTTTTAATAAATAATTTATTTTCATTTTAAATGATAGTTGTGATTTAGTTTGCATAAATGAAATGAATCTAGAGGGATTTTAAATCCATTTCAATTGGTTTATTGAATTGTTTGCATTTGAAATCCTACAAATATAGTATTTTGAAATCCTTAGTAGATGTTCCGGATTTCATGGGATGTTGTATGATTGTATGAAATAAGATTTTAAAAAGGGAGAAATCACCAAAATAGCCAAAATATACATATTGTATTAACAAAATAGTCACTTTTCAAACTTTTTTCACAAAATAGACACGCCCTCGGGGGCATATTGACCATACGGGGGCAATTTGACCAAAAAAAATACAAAGGGGCCTACATGTATCTTATTTGAGGACAAAAAATCTGATTTTTATAAATAAAAAAATGGGATCGCCTCCCGAGGACGATCCTACCCCTACTTTGACTGCTATTTTGTCCTCTAGTGAGGACATCGATTTGACAATTTAAAAGTGTTTTTCAATAAATTGAGGACGATTTTGACCGGTATTTTGTCTGTTTTAGGACCAAATATAATATATACATACACACACACACACACACATATATATATATATATATATATTGTGGTTTTTGTCTATAAAATCAAACAATTCTACTCTCACAACCCGTAACTCTTAAGCACAATCTACCCATCACAACTCTTAACACAATATGAAATCACGTCAAACTTTATATTTTTTACTACTTTTTTAATGCATAAATGAACCAACGAATGTTTTTATATTTTATTATAAAAATTATATTTTTTATAACTATCGAATGTTAATATTTTTAATAATTGTTGATACTAAAAAATTATTTGTATCTGATTTTAGAGACAAAAATCAGAAATTATATATAAAAAATGTCATATTTTTATAACCACCTACTTTGACCATAATTTTGTCATTTAGTGGCCTACGATTTGACGACGATTTAACGATCTATTTTGTTTTATTACATAACGGTTTATATAAATAGGCGGTCGGAGGGGACTATTATCACCATCCCCACCGATATCCACCATCGAGCATATAGAAACACACATCCTCCGGCATTCCGATTATCATGGACCACCGATCACCGTCGGCCACCGGTCATCGTCCATCGACCACCGATCACCGTCCACCAACATCTACCACCGTATACCAACATCTACCACCGTCTACCTCTAACGTCCACCACCGTCTGCCGCCACCTACCACCATGGAACAGCCGGTAAAAAGTCGCAATATTTTTAATTTAAAAACCTATTTTTTGTCTACTATCTAACTTAATACTCCATATTTTAATCTTGTTTAAATTGATATTGTACAACATTTAATTTTTGAATTAAATTTTGATTAGTGTTCTACCTGTCGTTACTGACGTTGAGAGCCCAAACTTCAATAATACAAAAATTAAATTAAATATTATCAACTAATCCAATGAGGTTAAACGTGTTAAGAGATACATGTTTCGGGCCATGGTTAGATATATCTAACCATTATTCATATTTCTCCTTAATTGATTGGATGGTGCAATGTGATGACTACTCTTTCCCTTCTCAATCTGAAGAAAATATATTATCATGTTGGAGGGTTCCATTAACAGTTCAACATACATGAGTTATGTTTGATCACAGGTTTTCTATGTGGGCCGGATCTTCGCCCGTCACATTATGAATTCTATTAATTATTACAAGATTGTTTGGTAAAATAACCAAACATGATAATATTAAAGTCGATCATTTTAAAAATAAATTAATCTGCTTAAATAATAAAGATATATCATACGGTGATGCGTGTGTGTCTGCCTCGTAATCATGCTTCATACGGTATTCCTGAGACGAAAAAAGAACCACAATATCCAACACTGAATTTTGCATCTATTTGAAATTTTGGATGCATGGAACCAATACCCAAGGGGCTCGTGTATATGGCGTATGACATATCAACAATTGAAAAATGTTTTCGAGCGCCGCATACATAGAAATTGGCCGCCAAATAAATACACATTATATGGTTTTATATATGCCTTCAAGGTCAGTTATCATTTTTTATAAGACCTTATTTACTGATTGATTTACATTTTTCTCATCATGTTTTTTTGTAACTTACCAGATCTGGATTTTGGAGACATTTTCCCGAGCCAAAAAAATTTCGTTATAATCTGTCAATCTCGAAGACTATTGGATGGAAATGAAAAAAATGATGAAATGGGGAAGAGTGTTGTGTGTTTGCAACTTTTGACAAAGTTTGGTTTCATTGTTTATAAACTTAAGATTTTCCAGTTTTAATTTTGATATTTATGTTCAAAAAATTAATATTGATTTATATATTTTTAGAACGCGTTTCGCCCTCTAACCTCGTTGGTGACGACAAATTTGGAGGAGTCAACCCAATGGTGGATCAGTAGCAAGGATTTTTTGGTGAATAATTGTGATGAACAGTCGGACCTAGATCAAGGGATGAGTCACGAATCAGATGATGACAATGACGACGACTTCCAATCATCCGAAGCACGTCTATCATTTGCAGCGCACACTTCTCGTATACCACGGTATGTGCCACAACAACACCATTCATCTGCGGCATATACCCACATCCCCCAATGGCGTGTTGAATTTAACCAATTTAATGTCAAGGTCGATCAAAATTTCACGTCAGTTACAGACCTTATTAACGAAAAATATGGGCTCTTCGACGTGAGACTTAATAAATGGGAGAACGATGTACCAAGACCAATACCTGAGGTTGATCCTTCACCATACATACCTCCGCAGGGTGATGATATAAGTATGTTTAAGCTTCTTGATGGTTTTACTTTACAAGTAACAATTAATTAAACATTAAATTTATATTGGATTGTGCATACGTAGTTTATGGTGCAGCAGTACTCACCGATGGATGCGGTAAATATGTTTAAGTTTCTTTCATCAACGTACTTTACAAGTAACAATTAAATAAACATTAAATTTATATTGGATTGTGCGTACGCAGTTTATAGCACAATCATACTCATCGATGGATGCGGTAAATATGTTTTAGGTTTTAATGTTTTTACTTTATAAGTTAACAAATTATATGAAAAACTTTTTAATTTATATTGGATTGTGTGTACACAGTTTATGCCACAACCATACTTTTCTGAGGATACAGTAAATATGTTAAAGTTTTTTAATGTTTTTATTTACCACAACAACAATTTTGTATGAAAAAACTTTTAAATTTATATTGGATTGTGTGTACATAGTTTATACCGCAACCGTACTTTTCTGAGGATACGGTAAATATGTTAAAGTTTCTTAATGTTTTTATTTACCAAGTTAACAATTAAATTAGATAAACCTTTTTAATTTATCTTGGATTGTGTGTATGTAGTTTATGTCGTAGCAGAGACTTGCAATGGATGTTGCGACGTCTACATCATCAAGTGTCCCTTTATAGAGTCGCAAGAAGAAGTTTGTTTGCCCGATGCTCATGAGAAGCGAGTGAGCAAGTAATCGTGTTGAACAAAATCTTCATTTACGGCGTTCAATACAAAGAAAAGGGACACGAAAGCCGCTAACCAAATGCCCTCATCGATGCCCACAACGACTATACAACGACTATAGTAGATTTTGGTCAGTTGTATGATGTTGATCAGTTACCCATGATGCGTTTATCGACGCTATCTTATTGGTGTCCTGAAAAGGCTTTTTGAGTAATATTGTTGGGTAGAGTTGAATCAAGGTCTTTGGGAAGTGGGATATGAGAATTACACTATAACTAATTAAGTTGAAAAACGTATATATCTGACTCACTTAAACATAATTAATCTATTATTTTTTATTTATATCATATTAATGCATGAAACATGTATCTGCTCCGTAAGAGACAACCGACTAACCGTTGGACCATCACGCAGCCATGTTGGATACCAAATTTAGAGAACCCGAAAATTGGCCCTGCGGAGCAAAAAGTTTACGGCAATGGTACACTAGAGTCATTTCCATCATGGCGATCATGACGTGACGTCAACTAGGTTGGTAAAATCACATGACAATTTTTTGTTATATATAGAAAATAATTTATATATCAATTTTGATTTGCAACTTATTTTTTTAGGTATTCATCCCAATAAATGTATCATAAGTTCATTGGGTGACTGGGGAGCTAGACATGAGGTCGTAACACTTGAGTATATACGATATTTGTCATCCAGAAATGTTTAATAAATATATCAATACTTCAAATTTTTATTGGAGACAGTATATTATAAAGGAGTCGGAAAGACACCCAAATTGCCAAAATTACGGGTAGTTTATCCTGAAGACGTACCTCGACAAACTGGAGTCCTCGGTGATTGTGGGTTGTTCTATTGTATGTTTGTTGAGTAGTTGTCCCAAGGAGAAGGAGTATATTGTGTGGAGCCGACAGACTATCATGCGATGTTATTTCGTCAATGTTTGACATCTCTTTTGTACGCAACACGTATACCTTAGTTGTAATAAAACGTATATTTGGTTTAAATAGCATTGTAAATGATATTTTAAATGATTGTCACTAATACCTGTGTCAATGATAATTATCCTACAATCGTTTCGATGAACAAAAACATCAAAATTACTAAAAAAGAAATCCAACTTATCGCCAACATTATCTTCAACCGGCGAACTTGCAAAACAACTTCAAAAAGGGAAGCTTCAAGATCGTTTTTTGATCTTAACAACCCTGGAATAATTACCACAGATCTAGGGCACATAGGTGGGTCAAACCAATCAATAAATCCACAATTTCTTCCCTGTAAAAAAGTAATGAATAAATATATATAAAAAACAATTGTATGCGAAAGTTCCGTATAGGAAAACACTCACATGTAATGAACAACAACTGAATCGATGGCCTGGATTGTAATCGGTCTATGACGTTTGGATGATTGCATTAGCGCCACAGTTGCAACGCCTCACCATTTTTTACCTATTGAGTTAAGAGTGAATGAATACTTGATGGTGGAACAAGTTTCTGATGGAAAACAAGATATTTATAGGGAAATATAGGGGGACTTGTCACATCATCACCATTTAAGTACAATAATTTAGAAAAGTTTGAACTAGAAACATTGACATCAATAATTAATCGAAATAAAACTACATTTTATCATGCAGATAGAGTGCTTTACTTCTTTCCATCGTTCTCGTGTATTTTTCAATGTTCTCTTCATTGTACCTAATGTTTTTTCCAGTCTCCCCGCATGCAAGTTCAAAAAATGCATCATGGTTCATTTTTTCTTGCTCTTTAATTTTTTTCTTGCAGATTTGCATGATGTTGAAGTAGTATATCCAATTTGAGTTCCCATTTCTTGATATTCTCTCTCAAATAATCAGACATTTTCAGTGGTAGTTGACTTTTTATCCATTCTTCTCTCATCATCTCCTACTCCCCGGCCGTCCTTGGACGTTTAAAACTAGAACTGGAAGAACTTTCATCCATTGTTATAGATAAAATAGGAAAAGAGAGCAAGTAATAAGTCTTCCAACATCTTCCACTAAATAGAGATGGTTAGAAAATAACACTTTATGACACGATTTTATAACACAATGACAACTCTAGGGGTAGAAGTCAGGCTTTTCGGACAAATCTTAGCTTTAATGATGAAATATTATCAGACACGATTTAACAAGTCCATGGAAACTTTATGACACAATTTTACAACACAATGACAGCTCTTAGGGTAAGGGAGATAATACATAAGTAGGGGTAGATGGCAGGCTTTCCGGACGAATCTTGTAAGTTTTTATGACAAATATTGCAAGACATGATTTAACAAATCCATGGAAACTTTATGACACGGTTTTACAACACAATGACAGCTCCAGGGGTATGGGATGAGAGTATATAAGGGGTTGTTTGGCGGTTGCTGAATGGTTTGGTGCAGAATGGTTAAGTGGTCAGAATGGTTAAGAGGACCAGAATGGTTAAGTGCTGAATGAAATAATGTTGTTTGGTAACTGTTCTCTGAATGACAACAAATTACCATTTTAACCCTCTGAATGATTTAGTACTGAATGAAATAGAGCTGTTTGACAGATATCTGAACAATTATTTTGCAAATATAACTACATATTTCATATTAATCAAAAGAAACGTAACATTATTAGTTCAAAACAAGATTTCATATTAGTCCAAACAAACATAATTTTTCAAATTCAGGAATAAACAAAAACATAACAATCAAATTCCAACATAATAGTTTTTGAACAATTTTTAATTTGACGGATTTAACATTAACTAGTTCGCAATCTGGTCATGTAAATTAGCCATATATTGATTGTTTTGAGTGCCAAAAGGCATTCCATCCACGTCATCTTCATCGCCTCCCTCGATTTCTTTTTGTCCCCCGGCAATAAATATGGGGTCGTTGTCGTAATCCATGAATAACTGATCGTGGATATTGCATCTTCGTATAAAATTATGAACCGCAAAACAGGCAATCACAACGTTCCTTTGTATGCGAAACGGATAGGGAGCCATTTGCTTTAAAATTGGAAATCTTGCCTTCAAGACACCATAGGCACGCTCGATAACGTTTTTGAGTTGCGCATGAGCATGGTTGAACCTTTCTTCATCGGTCAAGGCACGTTGTCATTGAAAATTAGCAAGCCAATACCTCGTATTGCGATATGGAGTCATAAAACCACGAGTATTGGCATAAACAGCATCACAGAGATAATATTTATCTACAATCGAAATTTGAGTTTCAACCCATTATATAAAATGTATAAGAAATGGTAAACATTTAAAGTTGAGTAAAAATTTTACATACCTCGTGGAGGAAATGGAAAGCCAGAGGTTGGACTAAAAGCAACTTCTCTCAACACTCTAGCATCATGTGATATACCCTCTCATCCAGCCCAAACATACGTGAAAAACATATTATAATCACAAATACCTAAAACATTTTGATAACATTCACCTCTTCCTCTACCTCTATAACAAGCTTGTTGATCAACAGGCACGACTGCATGTATGAGAGTTCCATCTAATGCACCCATTGCACCAATTATTTAGAAATACAAATTAATAGAAAATATAACAGGCTTGTTGGTTTTTACAAAATATAATAGAAAACTTACCGGAAATATTTGTTAGAGGTTTCTTTGACATTCTGATGTGTTTTATGTTGCCTCATAGGATGTCGGTCGTATAACTTCTTTTGCAAATTTCATCATTGCTCGTAGCACTTCACGAAAGTTTCTATGAATAGTCTCCGTAGAGTGTTGAAATATCTGTTTAACCATTCTAAAGCGTTCATTGTGGCCAGTAATTGTCAAAAATATAGCCACCTTCTCCTTGATGGTGACATTCCTACTATCTTGCAACCAATTTTTTTTGTTTAAAATGGTTGCATAATAGTATATATGCGTCCCGAGAAAGCCGCATCAATTTGACGCATTGTGTATTCGATCCGGCTAACAATTCTAGTGTATATGCATGTCCAGTTAAGGCATAAATGTTATCTCTTATTCGTTCTATTCTTGAAGAAAGTTTGTATTTCCAATACCAATAGATGATCATAACTAGCAAAAGTTCTTCTTCAAAATCCATGTATTACCTTGAAACACATATTAAGCACATGAGAAACACATATATTAAACAGGAAAACCATAAATAAACACAAATCCAATCCTAAACACATTTTACCATAAATAAATCCATTCCAAAACACATGTTCCAATCCAAAAATAAACACAAATCCAAAAGATATGTTTGAATCAATAGCATGAAGTTTAATCGAAACACATATCCTCCCAAAAACATAGTCTAATCAAACCCACCAACTAAAGTAGTCCGTACTTGCGTGCCATAAGTCTAATCTAATTCTCACACTTCGCCCGTTCTAAACGCATCCACATTTTCCTATAGTCAACATTTTTGGCTAAAACAAAGAGTGCTATATCATGCAACGGTGCACCCCATCCAAGTTCCTCTAACTTCTTCAAGCAATCATCAATGTCATCTTTTGCTCCTCCATGCTTCTCTAGCATAACATTCATAACTTTCAAAATAGTTTCTTCAACTTCCGTTTTTTGAAGTACTTATTTCTTTAGCTTTCCGCTTTTTGCTTTGTACCGGAGAACGAGAAGAACACTCTTGAGTTGAGGGTGGCTCCTCGGTTTCTTGAGTTGAGGGTGGCCCACCGGTTTCTTGTGTGTCAGGTATATCTTCATTCAAGTTGGGATCAGAGTCATAAGGATCAAGAATTGTAGATGTTGTTTCATAACTCTCAAGCCCAACACTAGCAACCCCATCAAATAATTGCACACAGAGTTCAGGGTAAAGCAGTCCGGTACTTCTCAATGGTTCCATGTATTTACTTTGCTGTTTTAAAAAAAGTTATATCCATATAAATAAATACATTATAAAAATATAATTATGTAAAGAATAAGAAAGAAAGTGACTGAAATTTCTATCTTCCATTCCTCATCGGATAGATTGAAGGTGTTGGTTGATGGATCGTAGACATTGCCCGTTTTGTTTTTCAATTTAGAACATGCTGCGTCTTTTCCCTTTAGGTAATCGTAGTGATTTTTCATTTGTCGTTGGTCGACGATAATGTTATGTTTCTTTTTCAATTCTTCTCCAACATTCTTCCACGACTGTGACTTAAAACTACTACCTTCTCGTCCATTTTTAATTGTCTCGTGTATACAAGCTTCAAGAAATCTTTGGACCAACCCTTCCTTTTTCCATGTAATCCTACGTTTCTTTTGGTGCAAAGATTCACCAACTAATTCCATACCTAATCCAAACAATTTTATAAAGCGACCATAAGCAATTACCATAGCAATTACCATAACAATTACCATAACAATTACCTACAGATGTTCTAAGTCAAGTCAATAAATGAACAAGTCAAGAATTCAATTTATTAAGTTTATCAAGTCAAGTCAATAAATGAACAAGTCATACAATTTTAAGTAGTGAAAATATGTCCAAAGCAGACCTTTGAATCTCAAAGTAGTTAAGAAATGTCCAAAACAATGTGTAGATCCAAGAAAGTCAAGAATTTAGTTTATTATTCCAAGAAGATGAAATTGGGAAAGAAAAAAAGGAACAAGTCCAAATTGCTAACAATGAAATTTCAATGCACATACAGGAGGAATATCATTCTTCACAAAAGGATGGAGGAAATACTACAGAAGGAATAACAGTAGGCTTGTGACAAGAACTACTATGAAAAGCATAACCCCATACCATGAAATACCACAACAGGAATATCATTCTGTTGGTTTCCTTTTTCTTATCAAAAAATGTCGAAAATCAATAACCCCATCCACACAACGACAGTGAAAAGCATAATATGTTGGTTTCCTTTTTCTTGGGGTATATCCATTTTCTATTTCTCACGAAAATCAATCCCATTAGATAACAGATAATGACAAAAGCAGTAGGGGTGGAAATACCTGAAGCTTGCTAGGAAAAGGATGGAGGGAAGCAGTAGGGGCGACGACCAGAAGAGCTCTTGGAAGATGACGACCGAACGACCTGCTGGAAGAAGGCGACCGGACGACCTGCTGGAAGAAGGCAATCGGAGACGGCGACCGGAGACCGACGATCGTGTGTGTGGGGGGGAGCGATTTGAAGACCGACGATCGTGTGAAGGGGCTGGTGTAGAGAGTAGTAGAGAGGGCAAAGTTGGAAAAATAGAAATCTGAATGGTTTAGTGAAGCCTTAGATACAAAATGATTAATGTAACCATTAAGAGCCTTTTTTTTGTTGCCAAACAGCCCTTACCTCTTACCGATTAAGAGGTTGGCTCTTAATGTCACCATTAAGAGCCAAACAAACAGCCCCTAAGTAGGGGTAAAGATCAGGCTTTCCGGACGAATTTTGTAAGCTTTTATGACGAATATTTTCAGACACACTTTAATAAGTCCATGACAACTTTATGACATGATTTTACAACACAATGACACCTCTAGGGGTAGGGGCGATAGTGTATAAATAAGATACCTCATAAAATCAAAAATCACAATTCATACCGACCATATTCAATCTTAATACAATTACTTGTCCACTTCCTGCAAGAAATGGCTGGAAACCCATCATCATCAAACCCTCCGTCTTCTCAAATCATGCCTACGAGAATGAAGAAATCCATATAAAAAACTGAAACAGAGATCAAAGAGATCAATGATAAGTGGTGGAGTAACAGGGAGAGGCAAAGTAAAATGGAGGAAGCGATCGAAGAGAAGAAGAAGACTATAAAACAATTGCAAAAAGAGATTCGAGCTAAGGAAAACGTGTGAAGGATATAGAGAAAAAATACCCCATGATGCAGGAAATAATCAATGAAAAGCAGTACTGGATTTTTTGTCGCAATCGGATCTACAAAAGTTTAGAGGCGTACAGTTTGTAGAAGGAGGGGGGTGAATACAAACACATAAACTTTCATTTTAAAAATATATATTGATATAAAATGATCAATACAAATTTTTACAGATTCTTTACAGAAATAAAAAAAGTAAAGAAAACCTATCTAAAACAATCTAGGATTACACACAAATACACATAGCAAATATAAGAAATTTTTCGAATAAGATAAAGACAGAAAAATGTTCTTCTTGGTTAAAAACTTTAGAATTAGAGATAAATTATAACTTGCTTGAAGATAAGCGGTCCTCAGTCGCCGAGAGAAAGGAAAATATGAAGAGAGGGTGCAGGAGGGAAAGAGGGAAGTTGCTAGGGTTTTATTAAGAGAAGTGACGTGAAGAGATGTTACAGGAGGAAAGAGGGAAGCTGCTAGGTATTTATTGAGAGGGGGCGACATGAAGAGAGGGTGTAAGGGGAAAGAAAGAAGCTGCTAGGATTCTATTATTAAGAGAGGGCGAGGTGAAGAGAGGGTGCAGAGGGGAAAGAAAGAAACTGCTAGGATTTTATAGAAAGAGGGCAAGGTAGAGAGAGGGTGCAAGGAGAAAGAGAGAAGCTGGTAGGGTTCTATTGAGAGAGGGCGACATGAATAGAGGGTGCAAGTGTAGGGATGTCAATTTTGTTGCTAAATATGGACAAAATGTATTAAGCTTAATCATGTAAGCATCTCAAAATGTTAGTGTGAATAAGCCAATTAATTATTAAGCCAATCAGTTATTATGCCCATCAAGAGACTAATAGGAGGAAGGAGGAAGCTGGCCTGAAGAGGAAGGAGGAGAGTCAGAAGATTGTTGCAGGTGGCTGGAAAAAGTGTTTTAGAGAAGGGCATATGGGTAAAAATTTGGGCTTAGTCTAAACAACACGTCTTTTCTAGCTGAGCGAATAAGTTATTGACTGGCCGATTAAGCCATATCCGAACAGGTTTGTATGGCTGATCGAATAAGCTATATAGCCTTATACAACCTATTAAGCCGCAACCAAACAATCCCTAAGTCAAAACTAAGCACCCCCTTATTGATTAATCATTAGGCCTCAAACAAACACTTTAATATAGCTGGGGAATAAGACATTTGCATCATTAACCCAAATAAGCCACAAACAAACAACCCGCAACTATTGCATAATCCAAATTGAACTAATATTTTTTGCTAAAATAACAAAGACGGTGACATTTAACATAACATAGATACATGTATGTGTTATTACCTTGTTTGAAGAGCAATACATAAACGATTTTTTAATATGTAACATGAAAATGATGATCTAAATACCCGAAATTTAAAATATCAATTTATAGAAACTAAATAAAAAAGTATTTGATCTAACAATATCTAATATGTCAACTGATGATATGAATAATTACACGTTAAATCTAATAAAATATATAAACACATCTGTTTTTTATATTAAGAAATTCCTAAAAGATAAACTTAAAGCACCAAATATGATATTGAAAGTAGAAGAGACAAGATCAATAAATATGACATTCTTAATTGAGAGATGCATATGAAGTGTTTTATAGTGCAATTTTAGATCTGAACTAAACATATGGGGTCCCTGTTAAAATATTAGTAACTATGCAAGGGACTGTTTTGTCATATATTTTATTTATGGCATATTCTCCATTTGAAAGGACCACGAGAAATAAAGACAAGAAAGGAAAAACATGTATAAAACAAAAGAGCGGGAAGATTCAAAAACTACAAATTTACGGTGAAATGACGAGATTGGCCTTTTCCATCAATACCTTTTACTGGTCATTTCTAAAGTGAAAAAAATACTCAAGACCCGCGAATTTTGTTGGTTAAATAAAAACATACGTAACGTGTTATTTTTTTTCTTTTTTTATATAATAATTTTCATATATGGTTAAATTGTTTCGACTTGATTATTAATACTGGTTGATTCAGTTAATATTGAACATAAATAAGGTTAATCAGATAATTTATAGTATATTCTTTTATGCAATTAATTTGTATGTTAAAATACAATATTTTTTTTTACTATTTTAAATCATAATAATCAATTTTACAAGATATGGCAAGACGTTGAATGCAATTCAATTGCTCCAATAAATTCCTTTGGGCCAAAAAAGTAAATAAAAAATAGATGGGCAAAATCGTCAAAACAAAAAGAAAGAGAAAGAGGGAAACCAAATAGATTTGAATTAAAATGGAAAACCCTAAATAAAATTGGGGAAAATACTCGGGATCGTACAGTGGCACGAAAATCACGGTATTTATACATTCAAGAAAATCCTGACCCTTCTTTCAAATTACTTACACAGTCGATTCGTATCACAAATTTTCAAAAAGCAGAAACTCATTTCTTCTTTTATGTGTTTTCATGTTCGATTGAGGTGAAGTTAGCAGCAAAGAGGGTTTTTTTCATCTCACACAGGTATCTTTCTTTACCATTGTTGCCGATTTTTGAGTGTTCTTCTTGTTTTTGGACTAGCATATGCATGTTTGTGGTACATATGTTCAGAATTTAGGGAATTTTTAGGAATTTGTTTGACTTTACTTCCAATTTCTTCGATACCCACGAAGAAATGAAATCTTGGGGTTTAATTGCTTCAATTATCCACTATCTGCCTCTCTTGATAAATTAGAATGAGTACATTCACTTATTTTAAGGTGGAGTTTACTTTGAATTGATTGTATTTTTGGTGTTCTTTTGGGTTGGTATTTCTAATTTTTAGTTATTACCAACAAGTGAAGTTGAGAATTTGAACAAGTGAAACTGAGATTGAGTTATAGAGGTGAATGTATTTCGTGGTGTTCTTGATTGAATTGTTGAATCTTGATATGGGGTTTATTGGTCAAGTACCAGAGGCAGATCCAGTGAACAATGTTCATAGATTGTGTCATCCAAAACACTACATCGGATGAAGGGGCGTTTTAGTTTTCTTTATCTATTTTTCATGTCTATTAATGTATCTACTTGTGTGATCTTTCTACTGTACATCAGGCTTAGTTTTTTTTTTCTCGTACCAGTAGTTGTCAATGTTGCACCATGTGTTCTCTTGTTTAGTTACCGAATGGTTTCCCTTTTTTTCTTTTCATCCTACTTTTCTTTCCAATTTGTCCCACAATAGCCAAGATTTCTCAAGTGCTAAATGTACTTTTTGTATTAAAATATGATTATGTGGGCCATTTGCAAGCCACCAAGGACATTTCGCAAGTTATCCGCACCAGAATCATATTTGATTCACAAGAAGTACATTTTGCAAGTTGCAAAATGGGAATTGTGAAATCTTGACTATTTTGGTCCAACTAGAAAAGTGGGCTAAAAAGTGCATAGGAGGGAGCCATTTGGCTATTTTGGTCAATTTCCGTTGTTTTAACCTATTTCCCTTTTTGTTTTTTGCTGCTATTTCTGTTTACTGTACCTGATGGTTGTTTGCACACACTTCTCTGCTACTTTTGTTTGTTAACTATGGGTGTCTGGACCAACTTGCGTGCATCTCGACTTATCCTAGGGGCTTGGAGAACAGCCAATAAATTTCAGTGGCCTTGCACACACTTTTCTGCTACTGTTCTCTCTTGTAACTTGCTCTCTTGTTTCCTTTAGGATTTTGAATTGCAAGCCTGGAGTCTTAGTGGAAACTACCTCTCTACTCCTTGGGGTAGAGGAAATGTTTGCTTTTTCTACCTTCCCAGACTCTACCTTTATGGTCCTGTTTACTTGTTACCAATTGGTTTAGATGCAACGAATTTCAATCTCATGGGAGATCATTTAGAAACCATTGTAATGCAGAATAATGATCAATGATTTCATTGTTTTTTCCAGTTTACTGAATGGGACGAAATCTGAGCCCTATCCTTAGGCGAGAACTGGAAAATCTTGATAAAGATGCTGATAGTAGAAAATCAGCCATGAAAGCATTAAAATCCTACGTTAAAGATTTGGATTCGAAGGCCATTCCAATATTTCTTGCTCAAGTTTGCGAGACCAAAGAAACCGGATTGACATCTGGGGAATACACAATCTCCCTTTATGAAGTTCTTTCCCGTGTTCATGGCACAAAAATTGTACCCCAAATCGACAATATCATGACCACCATTATCAAGACTTTAACTTCTAGTGTAGCCTCTTTTGCCCTTCACCAGGCTTGCTCAAAGGTGGTTCCTGCCATTGCTAGATATGGGATTGACCCCACCACTCCCGAAAACAAGAAAAGGCAAATTATTCACTCTCTTTGTAAACCCCTTTCTGATTCTCTTTTAGCTAGCCAAGAGAATTTGTCCTCTGGGGCTGCCCTCTGTTTGAAGGCTCTTGTGGACTCGGATAACTGGCGGTTTGCTTCAAGTGAGATGGTCAATGAGGTGTGTCAAAGAGTTGCTGCAGCTTTAGAAAAGCCTATGCAGACAAATTCACATATGGGGTTAGTTATGTCTTTAGCCGAACATAACGGTTTAGTTGTTGAAGCTTATGCAAGATTGTTAATCTGGTCTGGTGTCACAATCATGAACACGGGTGCTTCAGAGGGTAATTCTCAGAAACGGTTGGAAGCCATTCAAATGATCAACTTTCTCATGAGGTGTTTGGATTACAAGTGTATAATGTCTGAACTTAGCTTTGTAATCGAAGAAATGGAGAAGTGCCAAACTGATCAAATGGCGTATGTGAAAGGAGCTGCCTTTGAAGCATCAGAAACAGCAAAGAGAATCTTGACAGAAAAAGGTTCAAAATATGAACATAGAAACAGTAAAAGAGTTGATGAAGATCGATATTCTTTCACTGGATCACCTGAATCACAAACCATGGGTTCATTTGGTGGGTGCACTTCTATGAACGATTCACCATTTTCAATCAATTTTCTTGATTCTGGCAGAAGTGTAAACCGAAGGCACTGGAGGAATGGAAATGGTGTAGTAGACGTGTCTTTGAAAGACGGTTTATTTTCTGGTGGGATGTCTACTCCTAGAAGCGTAATTGAGAACTCTGAGCATAACGGTTTTTCTGAGGATTATGCAGATGGGTTTTCAGGATTCTTGCAGAAAAGTTCAACTAATGGTGATTCTAGAAGTGCTACTCCTAGTCCTCAGGTGAATCTAATGATCTTACATTTTCTTTTAAATCTTTATCAATCGGTTTATCTTATGCTCCTATAATTTGTTTCAGAAATCCCGATCTTATATCAATCTTGACAACATTAAGATTTTCACTACTCCAAGAAAGCTCGTCAAGTCTCTTCAAGCTCCAAACTCTGATCTCTCAGAGAAACAGAGTCAAAGATTCGAAATCCCTTCTTCGAGCAAATTTGATTCGAACCCCACATCAAATCAAGATGAAAGCGGGATCTCCAGTGATCGCCAAGATGAACAATATCGTAGTACCTCAGAATCGATGTCTTCAACTGAAGAACTTTGCCAAGAACTTGTTCCTGAAACCAAAGCAAAACCTCGGTTTTTTGCTCTCAGAATTCTTTCTGGTCTTATTGTTTTATTTTCGGTCATTGTTTGTTTCTTGTTGGTAGGAATTCCAGATGAGGATTACAATCTCGTTCCTACCTGATTTCGCTCTTCTGTTGTATCGTGGTCGAAAGTCAAAGTTGTGACCATCGATAATGTATCGTTGGTAGAGAAATTAAAAGGATTCTGTAGCTTGATTTCAAGTGTTTCTTATCTATGAATAGATGATGACCTTTACCAAATTTCTTTCAATATAAGCAGCCATTCTCATTAATAAATTGCCTCTTTCAATACAAATTTCACATTAAGGGACCGTTTACCCAAATACTTACCTGGTAAGCGTTTACCGGTGGGAGTTGACACTATAATCTATTTTACCAGATAAGATTGTATATATTAAAAGGGTATCGTATACAACAATTTACCCGGTAAACGCTTACCCGGATAAGAGTCATCACCATCATTTACCGGGTAAAACTCTCTATCCTTATCATCGCTCTTACCGGGTAAGATTTTCGGCCCTTGCCATGTGCATCAGGTGAGGAAAGTTATCTGATTAACACTTACCAGATAAGTGGTTTAGTAAACGGCCCCTAAGTCGTTAATTTTCAAGTTGTTATCTTGTTTTTGGAAGTATGATTATAAGCTTAAGTTTCATTAGGTTTTATTGATGACCCTTTGAAGACAAAAGTAGTTCATTTCAGGTTTGAGAGTCACAAATCAACTATTTATCATTCAAAATAACCATCATAAGTTTCTTGTAGGATTGGATTGGTTGGGTTAAGGCATTTGAACAACTCAACTAAATGTTTGCGGTTTGAAAAATCTTAATCTAACCCAACCTAAGCAAAACGGTTTGGGTTGGGTTGGTTTGATCGGGTTGAAAATCTGATACATCATTTTACAATCTAGCGATGCAAATAAGAAAGTAAAATTACGAAGGTGTTTATGTTTAAACAAAGTAAAATCAAAATGGTAACATATAAAAAAGGCCAACAAACTCAAAAAAGAAGAGGTTCATGCGATGCAAATAAGAAAGTAAAATTACGATTTGAATTATAATATAAATTTGAACATAGCTAATTACGATTAGTCTAATTACGTATGTCAATCAAGAACTTAAATAATCATATTAAATCCATAGTATAGAAAGACGTCGGGTTGGATGCAAATAACCCTAACCCAATCTCAACCTCATAAATGCAGTTTGATCTAATCTTGTATCAACTATAACATATCGGGTTACCTCGAATTAAGTTTTATTTTTTTTTAAAGGTTTTTTCGGATTTAGTTTTTTGTCATTTGAAAATCATTGTATTTTTTTAATCAAATTTATAATATGCATTATGGTAGTTGACATTTTGAACAATGATATTCATATAGACTTTTTGTTGTGAATACTATTCTTGAAGATTTGCTTAAATGAAATGGAATTTGGATTTCAGATTCATTCTTATCTCATGTTTAGTTTGTTGGATTGTTCGAATTTGAAATCTTACAAACATAGAATTTTGAAATTCTTAAGTGATGCTCAGGATTTCACAAGATTTAGTAGGATTGCATGAAAAGGTTTTAAAAAATGTTTAAAACATTTATGTTGTAATAATCGATTAATGAAAATGTAATTTAATTATTTACAGTTTTTTTTTATAAATTATTTATAAATAATGGAATCCAATTCCATTCCAAATCCTATAAACTAAACACACTAATGATTCAAACTCATTCCAATCCAAACCCCTACACAAAATCCAAATCTCTAGAAAACAATCCTGCAAACCAAAATGAACTCGAGAGCCGGTTTGGTTTGGTAGAATGTTTTTGAAAAATTTGGATTTCGTGATTTAGAATTTTTGATTTGTTCAACAAGGAATAAAATTGAATTTCATTTTTATAGATAAATTATAAAAGTAATAAATTACTTTTTATTAATTGATTATTAAAAGATAAATGTTTTTAACATATTTTAAAACATTATTACAGTCGAGTTTATATGAAATCCCAATAAAATACCAACTTTCCATGAAATTTGTAAATCCAATGTTCGTGAGATTTCAGTCCCAAACTTGTCTTTACACCAGATGCAATATTTAAAGGGATTTCACAAGATCGAGATGGAATTCAATTCGAAATCCCAACTCATTTTGTATAGTTTTACGATTGCGGGTATTCAACACTGAAATAACACATAACAGTCTTGCAAGTTCCAAATATAAACAAAGAGCACCTGCTTTCAGGAAAAGAACTTTCCGAAACCATTGGATTGACAAAGCGAACAAAGAGAAAACAAAGTCAAAGACTCCCGGGGTCGGGTTGATTCATAAAAACAGTTAAACAACAGGAATCTATCTTCTTCCTGACGTTTTATTCGACTAGTTCCGTTCATGTCTGTTTCTTAAGCTTCCCAACCTCTAAGAACGGTAGCTCTGGCAACGCGATTGACTCCCAACGTAAAAGCTCCCATACGTAAATCACAGTTATGAGTTCTACACATCTCCTTCACATCTTTGAAACCTTGTCCAATGTATTTCTTTAGCTCCTTATTCACTTTTGCCTCATCCCACATAAACCCTTGAATGTTCTACATCATTCAACACAAATATTCAGTATTGAAACAAACAAAACGAACCCAGTATATCCCAAAAATGAGGTGGGTTTTGGGGAAAGAGTAGAGCAATTGTTTTCGTGAAGACCCCCAACATTCGACATAATGATCTATGCAAAAAGCATAACAATTCTAGTTTTAAGTAAGATGAACGAATTCTACCTGAACCCATTCAAAGTAACTAACTGTTACCCCTCCTGAATTTGCAAATATGTCGGGGAGGATAACAACACCTTTCTTTGATAAGATCTGTCAATAAACAAACATAAAAATGTGAACTAATAACATTCATATCAACATAAAACCATGGAAGGAAGTTATTAGTATCTAGTAAGGATGATTTGAGTAATGGGTTAAAAAATACTAACCTCATCGGCTTCAGGATCAGTAGGATGGTTAGCTGCTTCGATAATGAATTTGGCTTTGATCTCATTCGCGTTTTCCCTTTGATCAAATATCACAAGAAAAGTGAGTTTGGACATATTGTAGAAATGTAAATACAAGGGTAAGATTGTCTCTTGTGTTTTTAACAAAAAGTCGAATACGATGATTTGAAAATGACCTGTTGATTACACCCCCAAGGGCAGCTGGGATGAGGATGTCACAATCTTCAACCAAAATAGAATTAGCATCTATGGAGTTTGCACCACCAAAACCTTTCACTCCTTTATGTTCTTTGACATGTTTAAGTAGGTTTGGGATGTCAAGCCCATTGTTGTCCTTTATTGCTCCTGATATATCGCTCACTGATACAACTTTTCCACCAGCTTCATGAATAAGCTGAGCAGCCCATGAACCCACATTTCCGAAACCCTGAGATACGGTAACAGACTCGATATAATTAATCAGAATAAAACAAAGGAGAAATCAGTTTAGAAAAACATTCAGTCTAGTCTTATTGATTCTGCTATCAGACTTCAACACCACCTCTTATCAATAAAAAGTTTAATTAGGCTTAAAAGATAAGCACCTCTTAGAAAACATCAACATCCAAGATTCATTCAAATGGAAAACAAACCATCTTGGTGAAAATATATCTAAATGATTGGACCATTCAGTGTTTCATTACAAACAGGGCCTTTCAAGTCTTCCAAAAAGGAAATATGATTAGTTTGATGTACTCCTAATTAAAATCTTGATGTTGCATTTATGCAAGTTAACCCTTATGGAAAAATCTTGGTTATATGATATATATATATATATAGATATATATGTACCTGTATAACAAACCGCTGGCCAGCAACAGTCTTTCCGTATTCATTAAGAAGGGCTTCTGTTGCAAAGAGTACTCCCCTTCCAGTAGCAGCATCTCTACCCAGTGATCCACCAAGATCCTGAATTCAGAAATAGAACCCTTAAACCCGATGGTAACATGTACGCAATTGCAGAAGAGGTTAAAATCCGGATAAAAAGGCAGGTTTGAGAATCAAGTATACTTACAATAGGTTTTCCTGTAACAACAGCTGGCGAGTATCCATGAAATTTGGAATATTCATCTAATATCCATGCCATTGTCTGTTCGAACACAACAACCATAAGTCATTTTGTAGCCCATAATTGTAACAACTCATCCCACATGGATAGAAAAGTAGATTTGTGAGCTCCTTCTAAGCTCAAAATCCTAGGCTAACAACTATTTCTACCATGGTTTTAAGTTGATATAGAGGGTATTGGGCTAGCCTGCTGCTTTGGGCTATTGGATAATACTATAATGTTAAAGTAAAATGCATACAAGGGCTTAACTTGAAATGAACAAACCTGGGGATTGGTTCCCATATCAGGTGCTGGAACATCGGTGTGGATTCCAATCAGATCGTGTATCTTTTGTGTGAAAACTCTAGTAAGCCGTTCGAGCTCAGATATGCTTAATTCTCCCGGATTACACCCTATCCCTCCTTTCGCTCCACCATATGGTATATTTGCTACAGCCGTCTTCCATGTCATCAGTTGTGCTAAAGCGTTCACCTCATCTGGATCAACCTATTCTCTCATCCAACATATTTCATAGGGTTAAGCCATATCGACCTTTAATGGATACAAATTATATTAAATTCATAGATGCCAGTGTTTTCTAAACAAAAATAACATCCCAAAATAAGTTTTACTTTCAGACCAGTGTTCAACATTTGTAACCATTGTATTTGGCTTTTGATTTCAATAATACCATTGAACCTGCAGGGATTCTAACAAAAAAACTATACTTGAAAAAATTCAACATTTATAACCATTTTACTTGATTTTAACTTTCAACATGGTTGCAGAAATGCTCATATTCCCTGGTGTTTTCTTGGGATAACTTCAACCACAAGGTTGTTTTTGAAAGCTAAAATCGGGTGCAGTGGTTAAAAATGTTGTTCGCTCAATTTGAGACTGTAAAAAACGCACCTCTGGATGGTATCTGATTCCTCCTTTCATGGGTCCGCGAGCATTGTCATGTTGAATCCTGAAGCCAACATAAGATGCCAACGTACCATCATCCTTTGGTATTGTACACTCAACCTGCGATCAGGTTTTAAGGCAACATAAGCATCATGCAGACGGTACTCAGGACTTCACATGAAGAAAACCAAACAATTATTCTCACAAAATTACGAATTTTGCCTGATAAAAAATGAACACAGATCGCATTCACAGATATCGTGGAATAACCTCAAAACTCTCCAAGATCAAATTGTATGAATGGAATCAGGGAATGCTACAAAATCACCTTGATTTCCCTGAATGGAATGAGCAGACTTTTTTCAAGTTTGGAGTCTAAACCCAGCAGACGAGCTGCCAGCTTAAAATTTCGGTTTGTTGCAGCTAAAGCGTTCATGCTTGTTTACCAAATACCCTGACCAAACAAAAATGTTAGATAGAACAATCTTTCAGAAAACAAAGGGATGCAAGATGAAAATTTGGAAGCCAGCAGTAACACTTATATATATATATATATATATATATATATATATATTAGAGAAGAGGTGGTTCATTTACCCTTCTTTTGGGATTCATGTTCCCATAATGTATTCAAAATTATCCAGTTTTAAGAAGCCAATTAGCATTTTTATACTTATATAAAAATAATTTTTTTTATAAAAAAAATGATCTATTAGCATATAAAAACACAAGATCATCTTCAACATGCCGCGTATGGATCTAGTCAACCCAGCTGACCCACAGTGGCCATCACTATCCTTTTAGGTCTCAACAACTCATGCGAGCCTGCCGTAAGCTAAATGATGAAATATGCATTTGGATAAGAATGGTGAGTTGGTGACAGCGTTGAAGACCCAATGAGTCAAGAACAGGGTACACCTAAACCTACATCACATGAGTCTCATTATATGCATTAAAAATTGTACCTTGTGCAGTGACAGTTGTACCAAATATGTCTATATTTGGTGAATTTGAAGAACATCAAAAACGTGTTTTAAGAACCCCCTCAGGCCCTCAGAACACCATGGTTACCAAAAAGCAGAAAAAAGAAGAAGAAAAAACACCGACAACTTAGCCAATCTCAAATAGTCCAATTCATGATCTGACCCGAATGATCACTGGACGGTTATTGGAGCCAAAACCCCCAATTGACTTTGCAGAGACGAAGAAGAAAACCCTACCCGAAAATCTACCCTTATAGGAACAACCAAATCTGTTGTTTAGTTAAATTAGCTTCAATTTCTTCAAAACTAAAATAATCATGTACATGATCGATTAACAAAGTAAAACTAAAAACAGGAAAAATGAAAATGAAAATCAAATGTCGATCCATATCTGAAAATCGAATTAAAAGCCTACCGGATACCGAGGAATGATGCAGTGGAGAACCCTGGACTGAGAACAAACACCAGAGATCAACTCCAATCTGTTCTTTCACTTGGAGCTCACTTCACTATATATATACAGCAGTGGAATGCATTTTAAGGGGGGGGGGGGGAAATAAAAATTAAAAAATAAAAAATAAAAATGAAAAGCAAGCGGAATCAAGTTCGTGAGGAGCCGAAGAATTACCTCACAGAAATGAAAATGAAAATGATGAATGAAGAATCTGTACGTAGTTGTGATGGCAAGTCCCAAGTATGACGACAAGAATAAGCTACTCACCTTCCACCACTGATCCACACAGTTACTTTTGAAGAAGGATTGCAGAGAGAGAAGTAAAAACCGTCGATTTGTATCTTATTTAAATGTTTCACGTTAAACGATGTTCTGTGTTTATCACAGGCTCAGACCATCACCATATAACGAACATCACAACTTTTAGGGGTTTCAGTTTTTAACTATAATCATGACTTAGGTTTATTGGATCGAAGACATTTAAGCAACTCAATTTAATATTTACGTTTGAAAAAAATTTAATCCAACTTAACTCATATGGGTTGGTCGGGTTGATATTTGGTATATTAAAATATTTTTCTAACATTGAATATGTTATTTCTTTACTCATAATTTTTTTTCATCATTAATCATTTGATACAACTTATCCATATTTCTTACGTATATCACATTCAGTTAATTTTTCTCAATTTACATATATATGTTCACAGTTACTGAATATATTACATATATACGAATGTGTTATATAGAGATGTGAATAGATTGAAAATATATGTATATGAAAAACATACATGATGGTGTAATTGTCTAATGTACATATTAATAGAATTTCAACAATCATATTAAATCCAAAAAATAAAAGTATGTCGGGTTTATCGGGTTGGGTTGTGTTCAAATAATAGTAACTCAATATCAACCTAATATCCACGGTTTGACAATTTTACAACTAGATTAGACATCATGTTGCTTCGGATTGAGTTATTTCGCGTTAAGTTGGAGTAAGTTGATCGGGTTGGTCGGATTTTTGAACACTACTATAATTCACCATACTTTGTAATTAATTTATTGAAACGATAAAGTTTTTTATCATCTTTTTAATTACAACACTTATTAACCGTAATTATTATTTATTGTTATTAATTTATAAATAAATATCAACCAAAAGCAGAAAAAAGAAATAATAATAACCTGGTCCCGGACATCTACCATTATTAATAAATATCTATACTATATTATAAAACATTTGACAAAACTCTTAAAAATCATTTTTTATGCGTAAAGTATTATTTATTAATGCATATTACTTAAAACTCAAGATTACAAGTAGATTGTGCGTAAGTACAACTTATTAAAGCTCCATATCTAAATCCGTGTAACTAACTGCAGATAAACATAATCATATACATGATAAACATTCATTTTAAATATAAAAAATCTAAAATATAATTAGGATAATCATCAAATTCTAACAGAATACTTAATTATTATCTTTATATATATACTATATTATAAAGCATTTGACAAAAACTCTTAAAAACCATTTTTTATGCGTAAAGTACTATTTATTAATGCATATTATTTAAAACTCAAGATTACAAGTAGATTGTGCGTAAATATAACTTATTAAAGCTCCATATCTAAATCTGTGTAACAAACTGCAGATAAACATAATCATATACATGATAAACATTCATTTTAAATATAAAAAATCTAAAATATAATTAGGATAATCATCAAATTCTAAAAAAATACTTAATTATTATCTTTATATATATACTATATTATAAAGCATTTGATAAAAACTCTTAAAAACCATTTTTTATGCGTAAAGTACTGTTTATTAATGCATATTACTTAAAACTCAAGATCGCAAGTAGATTGTGCATAAGTACAACTTATTAAAGCTCCATATCTAAATCCGTGTAACTAACTGCAGATAAACATAATCATATACACGATAAACATTTATTTTAAATATAAAAAATCTAAAATATAATTAGAATAATCATCGAGTTCTAACAGAATACTTAATTATTATCTTTATAAAACGTTATATTATTAAAATAAAAATAAATTATTTTATTATTAAACATAAATTAAATTATAATAAAAAAGTAAATTAAAAAAATTACATAAAAAAATGAAAATTTTTAAATAATTGATTTGATATTAACATTAATATATATTTTTTTCAAATTTTTATGATATCTTCAAATTTATATTTATTCAAAAATAAAATCATTATTTCATTTTTTAAGAACACATAAAATCGTATTATAACATCGACAAAGACAAATAATAAAATAGAACATTAAAATCATATGTGTCTCGCTGCATTGCACGAGTACTCTTCTAGTAATTATTAACAAATACTGGTTAACTAATTGGAAACTATTAATTAAAATTTATTGATTAATTTTAATCATTACATTATATATTAATATTAATTATATAAGAACTTTAGAAATATTTATGTAAGTTGCATAAAAATTAAGGTTATACTTATTTTAAGTGTTATAAATCTATACTATATTATAAAACATTTGACAAAAACTCTTAAAAACCACTTTTTATGTTTAAAGTACTATTTATTAATGCATATTACATAAAACTCAAGATTACAAGTATATTATGCGTAAGTACAGCTTATTAAAGCTCCATATCTGAATTCGTGTAACTAATTGCAGATAAACATAATCAAATACAAGATAAACATCTCATTTTAAATATAAAAAATTTAAAATATAATTAAGATAATCATTGATTTCTAACATAATACTTAATTATAATCTTTATAAAATGTTATATTACTAAACCAAAAATAAAATTATTTTATTATTAAACTTAAATTAAATTATAATAAAAAATAAATTAAAGAAATTACATAAAAAATGAGAACTTTTAAATATCAATACTATATTACAAAACATTTGACAAAAACTCTTGAAAACCACTTTTTATGCGTAAAGTACTGTTTTTAATGCATATTACTTAAAACTCAAGATTACAAGTAGATTGTGCGTAAGTACAGCTTATTAAAGCTTCATATCTGAAGTCGTGTAACTAACTGCAGATAAACATAATCAAATACATGACAAACATCTCATTTTAAATATAAAAAAATTAAAATATAATTAGGATAATCATTGATTTCTAACATAATACTTAATTATTATCTTTATAAAATGTTATATTACTAAACCAAAACTAAATTTATTTCAGTATTAAACTTAAATTAAATTATAATAAAAAAAG